AGAATTGGAATCACAGAAATAAAATCTAAACTCTAAGTACGAGGCTCACTTCGAATAGCTGCAAAATTGTGCTTCATTGCTGACGTCAAGTTCTATGATGTTTAACAATTTTTATTTTGCAACATTTTTTACGTTAAAAACTTGTCTGCTTCATAAAATTTGATACTAAAGTTAGAAACTTCTGTAATTTTATTTATGTCACGAACTTTATTAATAAATCGAATCTGTTAACAAGTTTAATTTTTTCTTTTTAATGAATTGATTTGAGTGCACAAATTTGATTCGCTATTATTTTACGAAACTTTATTTAAATATTTTGTCCAATATATTCAGTTTATGAAAAAGTTTTGAAAAGAACTAGATAAATGATCATTCTTAATAGCGTATTGACAGTGACAGCGGTGAAACCTTTTTTTGTGTCGTTATTGAACTGAGTCATCGTCACACTCGAATGCGAGAATTAAACGATAAATCATTTTTTTTCGAGCATAAAGCCATTACGGACCGATCTTTGAAACTTGATTCGGTTTATTTACACTCCGGAGTCAAGCACTCAAACTGTTAAGGTCTCGAATATTGCTTAACTGCTTGTTCTAGTGAACCAGCGAACAAAAAATATTTGTGTACATCATGGAGAGTACATGCATTTGAAATGCGAAAAGGGTGTTTTCACATTGAACGATCGTTTAGTGACGCTTCCCTGAGCACTGGGGCTGGGTCAAGTCAATATTTAAGTTAAAATGTCTCGCATTTATCGGACCGACGCCGCGTGGCTCGATTTTCCCTTCAATGACATTATAACGTTCAGCGAGGTTGAAAATGTTGAAAATTTCCGGTTGATATTCCCCATAAACACCGATATACGGGTCAAAGAAACAGAAGCGACACACTTTCTGCGTATTGTATTTTTAATTAATTTCTCTTTATTCTTATTATTTTTTTCGAAACCATCAAATAATTTCTTTCATGATTTTTAGATTTAAAAAAGATTCTTTCATAAATGCATTCGATGAAAAACAAGCTTGATGAGCAGCAATAAGGAAGGATTAGTGAGATTGTTAATAGAATAGAAATAGTGAAAATTGTTATTCCAGTACACCCGCCAATCCCGTGGCTTTGCATAAATAGGCCATTTAAATGCATAAGGAGCAAATCTAAGTCTTAAGAAATTTCGTGAACGAATTACTTTACGCATCTTTGACACTAATAAGAATTTTCTTACAAGTTTATTTAAAAATAAAAACAGAAAACTCCACTCAGTAAGCAGTTATGCTTTGTGCAAAGTATAAAATTTGATTGATGATTGATGAATTTTATTTTGAAAATTATTACCTACAAAAGACAAGAAAATCCGAAAAATGTGTAAGAAATTTTTATAAGCGTCCAATTGTGTTTTTAAAGTCTCTGCAAATGGAAATGGATATTTAATTCTCGTGGGGAAATGCTATTGTGAATTTAAAATTTTCAAGTGCAGACGTAAGCCAATTTTCCTGACAATCGGCAAAAATCTCTTGAGATCATCAATACCTTCCACTAAGGCTTTTTTCTCATTTGCACGTCAGACAACTCCTTATTTATTTAAAGCTGATCTAAAAACAAGATCGCGAAAATTTCCTTTCACAACACTTTTCTCAAGATTCTTAATGTTCATTAAAATCAAATCTTAACATATAAGAATTCGGAAATTAAACAAAGTATTTTAGAAATATCTTAAATTGAAAGTGGTGAAACTATTATTTTAGGTATAAAAAATAAAAAAACAGATTCATCTCCTTTAATCGCTCAATTACAAATTCACAACTTACAAGTGACATGAAAAGTAATAAGATTAGAAGTTGCATCGCTAAAGAGGCATTAAATAGGGCTCATTGCAACAGAACAGAAGAATGACACTTTACTGAAATGATGATTGCCTCTATCTGGAGAGATATTTATCTAATGTAATAGTCGCGAAAGAACCAGCATTATCTAACAAGATAGGCATTTCATTATATCATGAGATCTTATCTGTACAAATATATATATATTAAGTTTTTCTCTTTACATTTATCAGGTAGAGACCATAAAATCGAGGAGACTTTTGGCTCGAAGCCAACTAAGGCAGAAACTGGATGTAGAGTATCAAGGCGACAAAAGCAAGAAGCGCAGTAAGTATTCAACCAAATGTGGAAATATCAACTAGACACTCAAACATGAATGAAAAAACGTGTCGAGTTCCCGAGTTAAAATAAAGTAAGATAAATCATTTTTTTTGTCAACAAAGAAAACATGTCTGCACACCTAACTGCTTGGAATGCACAATATTATACACATAGAAAACATTTCTAATAAAAAGAGATAACTATTCCAAGCCAATCGTAAGAAAAGAGTATACCAAGAACTAAGATTAGTAACTAAGATTACAAAGTAAAAACTAAAAATAGTCAAATTTACCCTGAGTAGTTGAATAGACAAATTTGAAGTAAATTTCCGTTTTTATAATGACGACAATTTTTTTATAGAATAGTGTGTATTTTAGACGGTAACAGGCACAAAAATGAGAATTTACAAACATTGAGAATGAGGAAATTTTAAAAGAAAAGAATCCTTCTAGCTTGTGCCGACTATTTTAGCTCTTGTGTGTTCTATTCAATGTTGTATCGTCTCTATTGATCCAAATTCAGAGAGGCATAGAGTTACAGACTACTGGCGTCAACCCTGCCATGCCTTCTCCCTTCACTGTGCTCATCTCTTTCTCTCTCTCTCTCTCTCCTATTCTCTCACTATATACTTTACTTTTCCATCTCTTTCTCTCTATTGGCCCTACACTATCCGAATTCCATTTCCGTCCAATTACAATTCATCCCCGTTTCGACGCAACAGTCACGTGTTCATTTGCAGAACTCGCGAAAACAATTTTTACTCCGCGAGCCAATACAATTATTATCTTATACAAGAAATGACAATTCTTGTTTGAATTATTTAAAAAAGATTCATTTCCGCATAACGCGACTGTAACACATTTTTCAAGCTTCTATTTACGAACGTGACAATTAATCCCACTTCGATGTTCCAACTAGAAAAAATATACTTTTTCAAAAATTAAAATTTATCCAAATTGTCTTGATTTGAAATTTAGTTTCCAAATTGTACTAAAAAATTCTCATCTTTTTGAAAAGATTAAATCAGAAATATGTTATAATTCATTTTAGAATTTGTCGAATGATTTTTATTTCAAATGAAAATTATCCCAGGATTAATTCTCGAATTTGCTTTATAATTAAACCTAAAGCGTTTCTATGGATTTTAAAGTTGACCTATAAAAAAACCCAGTCTAATTTTTGTTGCAGCTCAAAATGAGTAGCCTACATTTTGAGACCAGAGTTTTCCAGTATAGTAATTGATTATCATATCAAATATACCAAACACATAGGTCTTCAATTAATAATATACTTATTTTACTTTCATCCAAATAAATGAGAGAATCAATGAGTTAAAAAAATATTAATTATAATTGAATGAAAACAATACTTTATGCAGAAACGATGCGTATATGACTTCCAGTCGAAAGGCGATAGGAGCGATATTAGCAATTACCTCGTTATGTAATTAGCCAGTTCAATAGTACGGCTTGATTCGAGCAATTCGATTTTAAACGTTGTTTGCCTTTAATCTGGATTTCTCAACAAATTCGATTTCCGTCTTTAAAAAAGAAAAGTACCTTATAATGAAACTATTTCCTGCAGTACACCTTTTGTATTTTTAACAATGTGACATTTTCCAAAAATCGCAGCTTTAAAAAGTGATACTTTCATTATTTAAACAAAAGTTTTACGTTACTTATATTTTTTAAAAGTTGAATGAAAAGTATTTATATTTTGTAATATACTAAAAAATTGATGAATTATTTAAAAAGTAGATAATTGAAAATGTGAGGGAAATTTTTTATAGGAGATGATGTCACTAGTTGAAAGCGTTGGATCGATGTCTGAATCACGTGTTCAACGTTAAACCGTGTCTCTGATTCGCGAACTCGCCTAGCAACAGTATAGGTATAGATAAAATTTTGAAAAAATTATGTAATTTACTGAAACTTTTATATCGTATTTTTCTCAATCGAAAATGTGTTTAAGAGTAATTTTCTATAATCATTCGTCGTACGAAAATGTACCTTTTATTGTCAATCTTTTTTTTTACTTCATTTCGATCGGAATGCATTTTATTTGCTTTATTTAATAACTTATCAATAAGCAGTGACAGAATAATTTATTTAAATCAAACATATTTTGCTTAAATCAAAATAAAAAATCTTTAAAAATATTTAAGGTGTATTGAAACATATGTTGGTTGATTTTAAATATATATATATATATATATATAATTAAATTTTAAAAGATGGAATCAAACTTATAAAATGACTTTTATTAAACAAAAATCATCTAAAAATACTTTCCTATTATTTCTTTTGTAGGTATTACATAACATAAAATATGTTTTCTCAGTGTGACAGAAAATAATTCCAAAATAATTGATTTTAGTCACAATTAAATTAATTACTTGAGATAAAATAAAATTATTATGGTGAAATGTAATTTTGTTTTCAACTCATTATTATTATATGATTTACTGAGTTAAAACACATTAATTAAGCTGAAGCTATAATGCGAAAAAATTGTTTTTCCTATTGTCTCACTTATTGAAAACAAATTATTAATAAAAATAAATTAACTGTAATTATCCGACATATTAAGATCATTTGTGTTTTTGCCTCAATGTCAAATTGCATTGGCCATGACACCAAAAGAGGAAACCTATTATCGAGCCCTCGTGTGTAATTTGTTATCTATTGAGTATCGTTTTTCATCCAATCCATCCAATTGAGAGCTTGTTAATTCTACAGCAAGTCGAAAAAAATGTCGAAAAAAATGTAGAAAAAAAAGGCGAAACTCATTGATAGGACGCCAACGCTTTCGATTTTCAAGTACAATACAATTGATTTTAGTAAGTTTCAAAATTCCATATAATATGAATTTCCAATGGAAGAAAGATGGTTGCTTATCGCATTACGCTTTAGTAAGCAATTTAGCAGGGTGAGGAGAAAGAAAGGTTGGCGAGGGAGGTAAAGTACAATTTAACTGTTACGTTTTACGCTTTATCGAGTTGAGCTTTTATTATCGAATGTTTATCGCTTACTGTAAATTTCTATGGGCATTTAATGAAAGACGATCTTTTGGATTAAAAGGGAATTGAATTTCATTGAAACACAAATGGTAAATAAAAGAACGAGTGCCACTTCTAGCTACTATTCGATATTTCGATTCGCTTAGTTGTTTAAATTAACATTTTTTTGAGCGACAGAAAGCAGCCATTGCGCATAAATATATTAAATATGTACGTTACGGCTATTATCAAAATTTCTAAACACATTATATTATTTTATTGCTTTTAAGGAATCAATAATGAGATAAATGAGGACTCGACAATTAAAAAAATTGAGATTAAATGCTTCAAAAATTAAGCTAATTACCGCCATTAGGTTAATTACAGTTTCCATTGTAGAATAAAAATAATAGAACTGAAGATTTACATATTTGAGATACCTTCAACAGTTACTCAAAGATTTATTCCCAAGAGCAAATTTCCTGAGGCGCAACAGTAATTTTGACTTTATAACTTTCTGGAATGTTTTCCCAGTTTCATAAAGTGATCATCTAATTATTAAAATAGTTTCTTACACTTTACTAATTTATCTACTTGAAAATTATGTTAATACTTTAATGTTATTGTTATACACCTCAACTTTTGCCTAAAAACATACAATCATTTCTTAATAGAAATAATGAACAATTCTTCATTATAAATAACGTTCAATTACATTTCACACAAGATTATAAACTTTTATTTTGGTAATTTTCTCGCGTTCTTAATGTTTTAATAAAAAAAACAATAGTTTTTAAAAGAAAATTATTGTAATGATAGAAAATTCTTATTATAATAAGAATTTAAATGTTATTGAATTTAAATATAAATTCTGAATTAAAAGTGTTATTCTAAATTTATATACAATTTCTATTTGAATTCCACTCAAAGATATTCAACATTGAAATTGTAAACGAGGTGCAAGCTAAATTCGCCGAAATGCATTTGTCACGCTCAAAGGCCCGCGTGTGGAGTTAAATCGCAGAAAGCAATCGTTTGTCAAAGGTATTTCCATTCCAAATTTAACGCGGTATCCACCAGTGAGCAACCATCAGTCAACAAAATTTTATTGTCCCTTATTTATCGAGATGAAATTTTTTCTTTCTAAATCAAAGACAAGAATGAAAATATTGATAGTCAAATTGTCTTTGGATGCGGTCAACGTCGATTAATGATATTGTTGATATATTCGCACTAAGTGGATATTAAAATAAAATAATACATTTTTTATTTTTAAGTAGAATGATGAATTTTTTATAAGATTTCAATGAGTGAAAAACTAACAAGTTTTTGATCGGCATGGGTCAGATGTTGGCTGGACGAGTGGTATAAAAGGATCGAAATGATCCATTACGCGATCAGTGTAGCAAGACGACAAATGCGCGCCACACGATCCGATAATCGTGCCATATTAACTCGGGCCCATCCCAAGAGTATAAAAGATGTCTCAATTGGAATCGAACCTCAGTGTTTCATACGAAAAGGACATGTCAACGTCGAAGAACAGTTCTCTGCTGCGTCTCAACCAAGAGAGCCGTGGGACCAACGATTGGCAGGACCACGACACAGACTCCGAAATCAGCGAAAACGAGTTCCTGACGAAAGGTGCTTTCCTGCTAACGCCCAGTCACGACCTCAGCATGGAGAAGGCGGCGACCATTTGCGAGAAAATGAACTTCCGGTGAGAGAATTTTTACGCGCTAAAGCGGATTGTGAACCCACCTCATCGCCAACTTGATCCATTTGTCAAGTCCTCAGTTACCAACTTACTGTCCTTTTTCCCCAAATATCTCTCTTTCTCTCTCTCTTGCACCCTTCACAATCCACAATTCCACCATTCACCGGAATTCTAAGAATCTTATATTCTTTTCCTCTGTCACGTTTAACCCTTTCTTTCTCTTTATTTCTGTCTTCTGCTCTGCCTTCGTGCATAAGTGCTTCTACTTTCTTGGGAGATCGTTTCCCGGGTTCACTACCTCTATACATCAGACATGAGGCTCAGGAATACAAGGGAAAATAAGAGAGTCGAGATTGCAGTTTCTTCGGTGAAATTCTTTCTTTTTATCGAAAAGGCAATTTTTCTCTTTTAAAATCAATGAGAGGTGAAAAATATTAACTAAAATTAATAGAGTTATATAATTTTAATAAATAATTTATATGCAAAATAAGAGAAAGAAACAGAGAGAAAGAGAGAAATTAATATATAACTTTTTTTTTTAATTTATAACTTTAATAATCTAGCAAAATAAATTATTTTTTGGCAATTCGAGTTCATAAAAGTGAATTAACTTCAACAACTTTATATTCTATTCTATAAGTACTATAATATCAATGTTACTAATTGTGACAATTAATTTATTATGGAATTGATAACATCAAAATTTATGATTCAAACAACTTGACAAAGGAAGTAAATAATTTTCATAATTTTATCGATGTCATTATGTATTTGAAAACTTGAGTAATTAAAATTAATACTTTATTGGTTATTATAATTGTTTGTTTTGTTATTAAAAGCAGAATCGCTAAATTCGATGGTAAATAAAATGGTAACAGCTTTCAGTGTCATGTTACTAGAAAAAACGGGTTGGAGTTAATTAAAAACCAAATTACTATTTTGAAAAAGATGATTTTATATGAAATTGCAGGAGAGATTTTCAACATTTCAATTAGTGTAGTTATTAAATTTCCATTGATTTATACATATAGATGCATATAAGTTTGGAAATGCTTCGAATTATTTCAAAATCTGTTCATACTGTCTGGAACAGTTACAATTAATTCCAAAGTTAGTGGTTAAGATTATACATTCAAACACTAAACAGTTCCGAGATGAAATTCATAATTACAAAGGCTCCCTAACGCCAAAGAAATAGAATGTTAATAATAGAGATTGTCTTCTTGACAAATAAAAATAAACAAAGAGTTTAATTCTCACATTTTTCTCAAGTAAAATAATTAATGTACGAAAATTTGAGTTTCTAATATCTCGTTTAAAAGTGCCATTAAGAGGTCAACGCATGAAAATTCCTTTAAGTATTCATTTTAAATTACTCAACGTTTTTAAGGGTGTCGTTAAAATTCTTGGGATATCTATTTCACTTTGGGGATTTTTCAAGGATTATTTCACTCCTAATAATGCAGACATTAAATGGCACCCTTACCTATATTCTATTCGACAAAAAATGTTTATTACTCGAACTTTATAATTGATTTAAAATCAAATTACAAAAAATTTTTAAACAAAAAATTTTACAAAGCTCATAAAAACTGAATCAAAGCGTTGAATTGAAATATATGTATATTTCTCCCAACACTGTGAGTTTGAACCAACAACATGTAAAAAGAAGAAAAAGAAAAGAATTTTACTAACACTTATTTAACGACAAATATTAACTTTTATAGTGGCGCTTTTTCCCTAACGAAAACGGCTACAGGAATTTTATTCAAGTTTAGTAGCATCGATGATTATCAAGCAGTTTACAAAAAAGGTTTTCACAAGGTCACCGGAGCTCGTTTTTACAAAAAAGTAAGTTTTCCACTAAAAAAAATAAATTCAAGAATAAAAGGATAAAAGGAATGGAATGGAAATTTTTAAAACTGAACAGGCATTGTATTTTTACTTGTTCTTTAGCATTCACAACAAATCACTTTTTATCGTTAATTTTTTCTCGTCGGAATAAAAAATAAAGAATAAGGAAAAAAAATTTTTTTGTTGAAAAATATTAATGCCTCTCTTTTCCTCAAATACCTGTCACTATACTTGAAGCGAATCATTTCCGAATGGCAATAAGCTGTAGGAAATAATTTGGTCCTAGGTTGCCATACCGTGCAGACCGGCGAAGACGTTTACGGTTTATGTGCTCGATGTTCCCGAAGAAGTACCGGAAGACGACATACGGCACGCCCTGTACAAGTATCGATCTATCGTCGAAGTAACAAGGCTGCCTCTGCACACCGGAACTGTGCGTGAGTAGACACTTTAAGTTAGATCGAGCACGAAGTAAAATGTGCATCTCCTGTCCATTACGATTATTATCATTTCAAGGAACTCTTCGCAAAATGCACTTGAAATTGTAGAAAACGTTAATTTCAAAACTAATGAAATAAACGTTTTCCACAGTTTTATCTTTAAAGCCACTAATGTAATTAATCGGAATCTATTGCAGTGAAGGCCATCAATGACAAATTGAGAGGCGATGCCCTAAATTTCAACGAGCCGGCCACTATTTATACAGGACCGCCGGTAATAAGAGTCACCCTTGCGAGTGTGGAGGAGACCTCGTTGTTACTGAGCCGGGGTTTGGACTTTTATGGGGCCACATATTTCCCGACCGAAACACCCCATCCTGCGGCTCACACTCTCGCCAAATACAAAAACAACAGGTAGGAAATGATGCATCTTATTAGCATTAGCATTTCATTATCCATTTTTCGGCAACATATCTGGCAACGTTGACGCGTAAATCAGGTCTTGTTCAGTGGAAAGTGCCATTTTGTGAAATATGCTATTTTATAAATCGTTTGGGGAAAGTTCGCTATTGGAAAAAGAATTCTAAAAGGGAATGTTGATAGGCCTTAGAACGCAGAGTAAGTAGAGGGAAGATATCGTCCCTGGCATCGAAACGAGCACCGTAAACTGATTTTACGAGCGTAACTAAACCGAGCATGCGAGTCGTTACCAGTGTAGGTACTTAAGAGAAGATAGCTGGCATAGTCAACTAGTAACTTAAATTGTACCGTAAAGTCTTTGATCGTGATATACTTCCAGCTGAATCCGCGCCAAACAAACAAAATCTGTCCATGATATATTCTTGTCGACCAATGAAATCGCTACTTCTGGCTACTTCCAAGTAGGCGAGAAAGTGTTGCTAACAATTGCAATATGCATTGCAGATGGACGGAACTTGCATCGCTTGGAGCCGGACAACGGGTCAGAGATCTACTTCCGGTTTTCGACAACGCGGGATTCAATAAACTAGGACCACCTGCGAGCCGAATCATAAAACCCCAAAGAAACTGACACTTCCCTTTCAAAGGACCGCAACACATTAACTTCAAAGGTTTTATATTCATTCCAAAAACCGTGTTATAAACTTTGTAACTGAATATGAAACAAGAATTTAATTTGAAAATTATTCAAAAAAAGTAAAGTTTGCCTTACTAATGCTAATTTTTAAAAACTAAAGGAAATTATGGTCTTACATTAATTAATAAATAATTTTCCAATCATCATATTTGATGAATTATATCAACAATTAAAATAATTGATATTTTAAGCATAACTTTAGGACAAATTTGTCAACTCTATAAGAAAACTAGTCAGAATGTAATGTCAGCAGTTACATATATAATTTATTACCAGTATTTTAATTGAATGATTAATAAAAGAGTCAATGTGCCAGGGGTAATCTACTAATGAATTGTGAAATTATATTCAACTACTTCATATCTGCATAATTTTAATTGTACGACTCTCGAAAGCCTGTATTTAATACATACAAAATTGACGCATTTTCGAGTTTAAATTTTATTAATTACCCATTATTTAGTTACTTAATTTACTATATTAATCTCCGTATTCCTTCATTCATTCTGTCCGCAGTTTAAAGTAAGTTTCTGTTCTTCTTTTCTTTAAAATATTGTTTGACAAATTGAAAATATGCAATTATTTTATCATGATTTATGATAAAATAATATTAGAATTTAGAAAATTTAAAAAAATTATGATTAACAAATAAAAAATATACCCATTTTGTTTATTATATGCTTTTTTCTATAACAAATTTTGTTTCACTTTAATTATGTAAAATTTTCTCCCTTTTATTTATAAAAAATAGAAAATTGTTAAAAAATTATGATTAAGAAATAGGAAATAGGAAAACCCATTTTATGCATAATTTTTATTTCTGAATATCAATATTGTTCACAAACTCATTCTTTTATTTTGATGGAAAAAAAACATTACATATTTTCTTAATAATTTTGTACCTAGAAAATTTTCAATTTTCATAAGGAAATAATTTACATAATTTATAATTATTTTAATAAAATTTAGTTTTCTAAAAATAAAAGAAAAAAAAGTTAATAAATTCTATTTGTCAATTACAAATTTTAATTGAAAATCAACTTGAAACTTGAATTAAGACATTCAAAAATTTCAAATTTAAACATTTTTGAAATTGATCTTCAAGTATTTTTGTTATAAAATATAAAGATATCGATTGCTCCGAGTTGAAGACTCGGAGTGATTGATTTCTTCATGTTTTATAATAATTTATAATTAAAAATTTATGAAAATAATAGAATTTTTGGGAAAAAATTTATAAAAAATTGTAAATAATTAAATTCTTGTGGAATTTTTATTATTTATGAAAATAATTAAATGTTTGTGTACAATTTTATTAAATTTTTTTTTAAATAATTGAATTCTTTTCGGATTTTATATTAAAACTAGCTGTCGTACCCGTCTTCGACGGGTTGTAGTTTCTGATAATGCACTTAACAGTGTATCTACCAACCTAGAAAACCGGAAAATAGCCGGGAATTTGATTTGACAGGAAAAAAATAATAATTAGTTACTATTGTCTATTTCATTAGGAAAATAATACCATTTGAAACAGTGACCGACTTTTTATTATCAAATTAGTTACTTTTAACTAATTCAAATGCAGAAAACAATATTTCTCAATTTGTAGTACTTCAATCAATATAATGTATTAAAATCAATCTAAAATTTCCTCCAATTTTTTTGAGTTATAGTACAATCTAATTCGAACTAATTGTATAGCAAGTAGATCCAGTTTTTCTCGGTTACATTAAATTCCCTGATATTTTACGTCTTTTCTGGTTGGTAGACACCCTGTTAAATGTATTATTAAAAAACACCCGTCGAATAAACCAGGAAAAATTTGGACAAAGCCGGAAAATGTTTTAAACCAAAATAAACACCGTGTTTAACTTTTGTCTTTACATTGATCAAGATATCTCTAAAAGTTAAATCAGAGAGCCCACAAATACTATTGAATTAAGCTTCATAGCAATTGGTATCAATTATAATTTTTTCAATTTTTTGATATTCAAAACATTTTTATACTTACATCTTCGTTATAAGAAAGTATTTTTGAAAAATTATGCTAAAATGTGACTAAATAATATGTAATATTCAATTATATAAAGTTTAAAAGCTATCCATTGAAAAATGTAAAATTTAGAAATTTTCGATTTTTTAAAAATATTTTTATATTTCCATTTTAGTTACAAAGTATTATTTTTTGCAAAATTATGCTAAAATGTTAATAAATAACATGTAATACTCAACTATAGAAAGTTTAGAAGCAATCCATAAAAAAATATAAAATTTAGAAATTATTTGTGTTAAATAAATTCATTTATTAGAGTCAAGTATTTATTTAATTAATCCAATTAAGATTTATTTGATTTAACTAAATAAAATTATTTAAACGAAATAAATTTTTATTAGATCGAAATAAAAACTTTTAAATAAGATATTATATTACTATTAGGTATTAACGTAACTTACAATCATAGCCTTATCCGATTAAAAAATATTAACTTAAACGAAAGTTATGACATTTTTCCAAAAAATTCGAAAAATCAAAAAAATGCAAATTTTTTATCTTTTGTAAAATAAATGCAAAACTATCATTAGCTAACTTTTTCAGATAAATAAAACCCATTTCTACAATAAAATTTTTAAAAAAGACGTATTTTGAAATTTTTTTTCGTTTTTTTAGATCAACTTTTTTCTAAGAAAATAGTGATTTTTAATCTTTAAGCAAGCTTTTCAGGAAAAGTTATTAAAGTTTTTTATTTAAAGATCTGTATGTAAAGTAAGAAATTTGCTACATTAAACCAAAATAATTAAGCTAAATGCCATAAAAAAGAAGAAAAAATGTTAAATTTTAAGAAATTCGGTTTTTTGAATTTTTGCTAATTTTCCATAATTTTAGATTTTTTACCGAAGGGTGGAGACTATTGAATAAGTAAAGTATTTTTTAAGAGCACAAAAATAATAAAGCTAAATGCCATAAAAAGAAGGAAAAATGTTGAATTTTAAGAAATTCATTTTTTTGCATTTTTGCTATTTTTCCATAATTTTAGATTTTTTACCAAAGGGTGGAGATAACAAATTAGGTTAAGTATTTTTGAAGAGCCCAAAAATAATGAAGCCAAAAGCCATAAAAGAGAAGAAAAAATGTTGAATTTTAAGAAATTCCGTTTTTTGAATTTTTGCTAATTTTCCATAATTTTAGATTTTTTACCAAAGGGTGGAGACTATTAAATATAAGTAAAGTATTTTTGAAGAGTACAAAAATAATGAAGTTTAATGATATAAAAGAGAAGAAAAAAATGTTAAATTTTAAGAAATTCGGTTTCTCGAATTTTTGATAATTTTTGATTTTTTGCTAAAGGGTGGAGACTATTCAAATAGTATAATTATACTACCGAAATAGCTAATGGTTACTAATTATTAATTTTCCGGTGAAATTAAATTCCCGGGTATTTTTGATTTTCCAGATTGGTAGAAACATTGTTAAATGTATTGGTAGAAACTAAAACCCGTCGAAGACGGGTACGACAGCTAGTGCTATATATTATCAAAATTTTTAAAATTCAAAATTAATCTTTTGAAATAATTATTGTCATCAATTTTACTTAAATTTGATACAGGGTTAATTTTAGTATTTTTTATTACAATTTAGTCATCAGAATGAAATTTGAGTTTTTCATTTTATGATCATTAATTAATATAATATAATAGCAATTTTGAATTCTGTGCAATATACTGACAAAAGTCTCATATTAATTATATGGATATTGTTAATATTCTGACCTAATAAAATTTTTTTAAGAAAGTAAACTTATGATTTCAACAACAAATTTTTATTGTTGACCTAAGAAATACAACCGTATAAAAATTAATTACAAAAAAATTTCAATTTTTAAACTTTTAATTTTTCAATATTTAAATCTAACACTTTTTATTTGTTATTCAAAATTTTATTATTCTGACGATTAAATCTTAATAAGAAACACTAAAATTAACCCTGTACCAAGTTTAAGTACAATTCACTAAAGTATATGAAAAAACTAAAAATTTCGAATTTTCGAATTTTTGAAAAAATGGCATAACTTTCGTTCATATTAATATTTTTTAATCTACTATCGCTAGGATTTTAAGTTAGGCTAATGCCTAAAAGACTGCCAAGTTTCACTTCAAACGATCGAACCGTTTTTCCGTGATACGCGGTCGAAAATTTGCGGACATACATACACACATACACACATACACACATACACACATATACACATACACACATAATTCTCTTAATAGTATTTTCGCATTCCTTAGAGTGTAAAAATAAGGAATATAATAGAAATTTTGAATTCTATGCAATGTACAGACAAAAGTCTGATTTTATTAATAAGGATAGTAGATATTTAAAATAATTGAATAATTAGGACAAGAATTTTATTGTTATTTTTGAAAATAATTCAACTTTGGGGAGAAATTATGTTATTGGGGATTTTGACAAGAATTTTTTTTTTAATTTTAAACATAATTGAATTTTATGAGAAGAATTTTATTACTTTTGAAAATAATTGAATTTCTGCAATTATTTGTAATTTCTCCAAAATTGAATTTTTTTAGTGTTTTCAACAAAAATTTGAGTTAAACATTTTTAAATTCTATTATCTTCAAAATTGCTAATTTTATTTAAAAAATGAAGTAAAAAGTTAGTTTTTATTAAGTTGAATTTTTTAAGGCACATCTAGAATTACTAAAAAATGAAAATGTTGATTATCTAATTTCTGTAATGAGATTATTTGTCTTTAACTATAGAAGCAAAACAAAATTTGCTAATCAAAATTTTTATTGTTTTTGAAAAAAGAAAACGTTTCTTTATAACAAGACTCAAGAGAGTCGTCGTTACAGAGTCGGAAAGAAAAATCCAAGTCTGGTTGGAAGGCTCTGTGAAATTTCATGACACAGTAACGATAAGTATAAGTATGCGAAAGCATCGTTAGTACTATTGCAGGGCCCGTGCAATAATCCACTAGGGGCTGCTAACTACTAATTGCTCCTGCATGATTACAACGAAATTCGAGACATGAATTTCCCACCAAACATTTCAGTTTCCATTTTTTATTATTATTTTAACGATTTCGAATAAAACTTTAAACAACATCCAACAGAATTTTCATTTTATTTCCTATTTCGCAATTCATTTATATACTTATAGACGGCAATTTCAGTGACTTTACCACCAAAATTTCATTATTATCAAATCACACAAATTGATCACTTGCATTGTATTACGCGATTTTATATCCAAATCGTTTGTACCGATTTATTGCTGCCGGTTAACAGTCGTCGTGATGGCTTTAAAATTTACGAACATAAATATTTTATCAAGTTGCCCATTCTTTCTATAGTGAGAAGATAAATATTTATATTTTTATTGCCAAAAGCAAAAATAAAGAATTTGC